ATAAATGTTCTATCTTGGAGAACACTAGGAGATTTTGATCAATTATATTTGTATTTCAAAATCTGTTGTGCCACTCACTTAAAAATTGATTCTCTTTAATGAACTAGTTAGATAACTAAATTTTTTAAAAGAGATAATGTATTAAAATTTTAGTCATTTTTCTAATATTATTTCTTGAAATAAGAAAACCTCTAATAGTAAACATTTGTTTTTTAAAAAATGTAATAGATGGGGCTGGGGTTGTGGCTCAGTAGTAGAGTGCTTGCCTAGCATGTGTGAGGCACTGGGTTTGATCCTCGGCACCACATAAAAATAAATAAAATAAAGGTATTGTGTCCATCTACAACTAAAAAGATATTTTTTTCAAAAAAGGTAATAGACTCTCAAGAAGGGAAAAATAGCTCAAATATCACGGTAAGTGTATTTTTTTTTCTTAATTACACCAGTCTTAAGTGATACAGTTTGTTACAAAGAATACAGCTGTGTTTATGCATATACTCTTTCTGATTTTTCCAGAGGTATAGGCAGCAGTGATACTCAAAGTATTTAACAACTGGTAGGACAAAGGCAGTGACCCATCAGAAGAGATCCTGCTACATATCTCTGCCACAGCTCTACTGGGACTCACCAGCAAAACACAACTAGATACATGAATTACAATATATAACATAAGCAGATGGATAAGATGGGGTACCTTAAATTCAATTCAAAAATTTTAACCTAAATATTATTTATTTTTTCAAAAGGATGGCCTAGAGTTCACACAATTTTTCCCATTTCAAATAATCCCCTTAATAAGGTATCAAGGAGTTTTTGCTGTTTATAAGATTTAGGTGTAAGAATGTATAATGAATGAACCCGTTTTCAATGTATCTTTTGCTTGAAACCTTGAAAAGTAAAACATCTGGAATTAATTTTACATCTCTTGAAATACTGCCTTCTAAAGTCAGTCTCAGAGAAGACATGGGTGAATATTTGGGCACAGACTTTATTTGGACTGAAATATACCTCTGAAGTATCAAACTGGTTTTCAGAATCAATTCTATGTGGTCATAGAGGATGGCTGAAGGCTGTCCCACATAATTCCTTTTTAACTTTACCATGTCTGACAGCATCCAAGAGCACAGATGTCAGTTTATTTTTCTGCTGCTCTGAGAATAATCATAAAGAAAGCTTCACAGAGAAGACTAAATATATCTTTTCAATGAATTTGGGTTTTCCTTTGGAAATAACCAAGAGTTTAAAAGTACAGCTCATCAGAGCTGGCTGCTTGCGGGTGCTCCACCTCACAGCTTGAAGTGATAAAATGTTTGGCTGTGTGTCAGAGATGCAGGAAGTTTCTCCCTAACCCTTCCTATCATGGCTCTTTATGATGAGGAGAAAAAATTAAGTTACTCCATAGTAAAATACCAATCAGCTTTCCTAATTCTGCTGAGTAACTCACACTAAATGAAATATTCTGCCAAAATAAATAAAATTTTTTGGGATATGATAACCGAAAAGAAGGAATGAAAAAAAAATGACATCATTGAATCACATGAAAGATGGAACATGACAGCCAAGAAGGTTGGAGATAAGCTTTTCTTCCTAGGAAACCATTCACAACAAAGAATGAGGACTGTTCTAGAAGAGGATTAAAGAGCAATTCTATTACATTAATCCACATATGCAGTAGAGAAGATTTATCTTTTCTATGCAATACTGATTGGATCCGAGACACACACACACACCGTAGTAAAATAGAATCCATATAGTTTGGAGTTTAATTATTGCAAAGTAAAACCATTTGTAAAACTAGAAATTGGATGGAAATACACTTATCTGCTCTCTGGAGAGGGAGAGGCTTTCTAAAATATAATACAACTGAAGATATGACAATGGAAAAGTCTAATAATTCAATTGAGCAAATTTTAAGACTTGCCTTCTTCAAAAATTCCAATAAACAAAATTAATTGATAACAAATGTGTTCTAGATGATATCATAAAGGATCAATGTTCTTTAATCTATAAACTCTTTATATCATTCAATAAAAAAGATCACAAAATGTCCAATAAACAAAGAAGTGCAATAAAGGTCATTAAATGGAAAACACAAATGTCTAATAAACAAGTGAAGAAAGTACAGATTTATCATCCATCAGAGAAATGGTAATTTAAAACTATCACATTGGTGAAAGCTTTGGTGATGGAAATACGTGATGTTGGCAATGAGAGGATTATATGAAGATATACTCTGGCATATTCCTGGCAAGACGGTAAAGTGGTACAGACTTTCTGGAAAGAAATTTGACTATATATATTAGGAAGGCTAAAAATGTAAAATTATTAATAGGTAATTCTAGGTATTTGTTTTAAGGAAAAAATCAGAAATGTGAACAAAGCTTTATGATGAGTTCACTATAACATCATTTAAATAAAAAATCAGAAATAACTTGAATGCCTACAAACTGATTAAACAGATGATGAATAAGATACCTATTATTTGTAGCAAAATGGATGAAATCAGAGAATATTAGGTTAAGTGAATTAAGTTCAACACACAAATACTACATGCTCTCTCTGATATATAGATGCTTTAAAAAGTCAATCTGAATGTGTAATACAATTACTGGAAGTTGGGAAGGGTGAGGATACAGTAGGAGTTTGGATACAGAGTACTCTAAGGTTCTACAGCATAGTGGAAGGATCATAATTCACAGTACCGTATTAAACACAAAAGAGTTCGAAAGCTCCAAATACAAAGTAATGATAACATGATGCACATATTAATGACTCTAATTTGACCAGTACATATTGTATACTTGTACTGAAATATCATATTGTACCTCATAATATTGTTTAATTATTATATGCTAATCAAAATTTTTTTTATTTTTAAGGACTTATAAATGTTAACTCTCCTGTTTAATCATAATGTAATGTACATATGTATGAAATTATCACACTGAACCCCATAAATTTGTACCAATAAAATAAAAATCTTAAAAAGTAAAAAAAAAAAAATTAAAGTTTTAACAGAACACAAATGGTCTTATACTAGTCTTTATAAGATTTGTTATGGATAAATTTGCTAATGCATTTCCACTGTTTTTACATTCTGAACTTTTAAATTTTAGACAGTGAGGAAAATAGCAAAACCTAAAAAAAGAAAGTAAGAAAAAGAAAAGAAAAAAAAAATAGCAAAACCTAAAAAGAAAAAAAAAAATAGAAAAAGAAAAAACCCAGGCCTGGGAATTTAGCTTCAATCCCTTTCTTGTATTGGGATTTGAAATACGTCTGTTATGGTTTGGATTTTTAATGTTCCTTCTGCCCTCATCCCTCACCAAACAACAACAAACAAACAAAAACAACCTATGTGTTAGACAATGTAAGACTGTTCAGAGGTAAATGAGTAGATTATAGAGTTGTAACCTCATCAATGGATTAAACCATTTAATGGATTAATGATGTGAATGAACTCCTGGGTGGTAACTGTAGGCAGGTGGGCATGGTGGAAGAAGTAGGCCACTGAGGACATGGTCTGGACTATAGATGTTCATGAACCCTTCTTTTTTCTGTCTCTTGGCTGCCATGAGCTGGTAGCTTTCTTCTGCCACATCTTAGGCCCCAAGCCATGAAGTCAGCCAACCATGGACTGAACCTCTAAAATCTTGAGCTCAAAATAAACTTTCCCTCTTTTAGGTTGCTCTTGTCAGATATTTTCGTCACAGGAACACAAAATTTACTGATACAACATCAAAATAGTTTCCTGGCAATCATAATAATGTAATGCTTGTAATTATTATTTGATAAGAATTTCATAGTAAACACATTTTTCTGCCAACTGAAACCATAGAAACAACTTGTCTTATCAGGATTAATTCTCAGTCCTATTTTATCCAAGACCATTTTCTGTCACTGAAAAGAGTCCTCCTTCTGGGTTAGGGATGGTAGATCCTGTGTTTTGTTTGTTTTTTTAACAGGGGAAACCCTGGGTTTGATCCCCAGCACCAAATACAAACCAAAAAGAAAAAAAGAAAAAGAGTCCTCCTAAGCATGTATTCGCCCACCCCATTACCCCTGGGCTACATGATCAGTGGAGTATTCTGTGAACTATTTAATTAGACATAAAAAGATAACCATCCAGACAGATCATGTTATACACTGAAGTGCAAATTTTCACCCATGATGAGAGCTTCTGCATTCATTCAACTGTAGGATATTTCACAGGCTGGATACTTACAATACATAAGAAACAAAGCCAGCACTAAATTTTCCTGTTCTTACCAAAGTAACTCCTCATACCAAAGTAACTCCTCATCCTGGTCAGTAACATAATGTTCTTGCTTTACAATTGGACATGTGATTTGAAATGCAAACAGCTCAATGTGGCTGTATCAATGGCTTACATTATACTAAGTAGTGCATAACTGATATGATGTGTCCCAGAGCAGACTGTGAAAAAAATTTTTGCTCAAGTGAGACATAAAAAGCTATCTAGACTGGAGGCAGGAGAGAAAAATGCCTGGCTTACAAACCACACAAATATTTACAGTACTGAACTGAAGCTGGGCATGTTTTAAAACCAAACTGATTGCTTTTTCATTTTGAAAAGGTTGGCTACTTTAAGTAGGAAGTGATAGAAAGTAAAAAAGGAAAGATCTCAACTTTAGCAATGTACCTAGAGCATGGACCAATCAATTGGCTTTTGAAGTGTTATATTAAAAAACGATCCACATGATAGAAGAAGCATTACCTAAAAATACCTAGAATATTCAAATAACAGAATGACTATATGAAAATTTCAGAATTTTAGAGCTTCAAACAAATTAGAGATAATTTGGAATCATAGTTCTCAGAAAAAGAAGCTAATTCCTAAAACATTAAGCACGTAAACCATTTCTCCATTGCTAATCAGTTAATCCAGTTTCAGTAACTCCTAATTGGCCTCTTTCCTTATTTAAATAAAAATACAATGCAGATAATTTTTAAAAAATTCTTAAAAGTGAACTGGTACATACCACTGTGTGGACTTGGTCATAAGTACTCTGGATTTTCCCATTTACTTTGTTTTTACCTGACAAAAAAAGGGGGAAATGACATTATTTTAATTCTTCTTGCTCCCAAATCAATTTCAGCCCATCAATATGAAGATGACTACTACTCATGCTCTATCTTGGGCATATTATATTACATCCTAGCCTTTTAAATATTGATTCCAATAAAGTTTTAATGAAAGGATAACTAGAAGAAAACTGAGGGTTCTCCCCAAATATTTTTATATCCACTTCTGCTGGTCTATCTTTCCATTCTAAACATTTGTAATAATAAATAATAATAATAATAATAATAACAACAACAAGAACATTATTATTATTATTATTATTATTATTATTATTATTATTATTATTATTATTATCTCAGTTGTATTCACTGGTCAGCAAAATATGTTACAAGGGCCTATGACATCAGTAGAGACATCAATTTTTTAAACTGCTTATTTAAAAAAATCATATTATTAAATAAAGATTTTGAAATGTAAATACTTAAATTGTATTCTTTTTGCATTTTCTTAAATACTAGAACATGAAAATTAACTCATTTCATATCATGCAATAACTAAAAATAGATAATTAGGGAAAAAAGAAAAAAAATTACAAAAATCTTACTGAAACAAACAATTCCAGATACTTACTTCCTATAATAGTCTTGTGATTAAAAATCTTACTCCAAATTCCCCCTTCCACATTGTCTTTTACTCCAAATTCATAAACTGTGTTGGGCTTTAAATTTTCCACAATTGTTTCAGTGGCTGGACAGAGTTGAAAAATCCATTTTTTTTCCTTATCCTTTTCTCTATAGCGAATTGTGTAAAATCTGTTGAACCAAAATATAATACCTTAAAATCACATGGAAAGTCACAATATAATTTCAAGTTTCTTAATGTATCTCAGACTTCAATCAACTCAGAAAACTATATTTAATATTGGACTGTTCAGGTTTTTAAAAATTTGCAGAGAATATGAAAAAAATAGCTCAACATGTGCTTATGTTTTTAATTTCAAATTGCAAGTTGGGGGTCCATATAATAGCCATTTATGATCTGATAGAATCCATAATTCTCAGTTCTGTTATTTGCAGCTTTAGAAAATGAAGTTGGAAAACATCATTCACTCCTTTCTGATTACAGAGAAGAATATAGGCATTATTTTATAAATACTTAATATTATAGTTTCATAATTTTATAAATTTAAGACTTTTAATTCCAAGGAAAGTATCTTAAAGGTAATAACATTCAATTTTTTAAGATGAGCCCAAGATGTATCCTGGACTACAATTTAAGGGTGAAATAAGTTTATTGTTACAAAAGAGAATTAAGACCAACAGCCAAGTTAAGGGTACAATTGGAAAACATAATGCAAACTCAAGAGTACTGTCATTATGGGGCCTTTGCTTAGAGTCTCTTTATACTCTGAGTTAGATCTGTCAAATATGTAATCTCCACCACCATTTTTTGCATCATTGCTACATCCTTTTTTACATATGCTTCCTCATTTATTTGTCACAAACAAATCTTAAGTGGTAAAAATTATTAATCCTCTATCGTAAGTGTGAAGACTGAGTTTCAGAACAATCACTCAACTTGCCCAGTGCCACGGGCAGTGGCAGAACCACAACATAAAGAAAAGCTGCTCTGGCTCTACTTTACACAGCCTAAGTGAGGCAGAGCAGGAAAGGGCGTTTCATGACTACTGCACACAGTAATGGGAATGAAGGAACTAGCACAGCAAATAATATAGAGAACGAAGACAGCAAATTGTAGAACAAAGCATATAGTTTCATGCCATCCACAGAAATGTTAAACCATCACATGAAATGTTACTATTATTGTTCCTAGTATTATAAATTGAGAAAAAATACTGGAAGATTCCAACATTTATGATTGTGCTTTGTCTTCCAAAGAGCAGAGGGAGATAAAAATGGCATTAGTTAAACTTTATCTGCTTTTTAAGGTAAACATTTTAAATAAATGAAATAAAATAACAGCTGCTATTTGTGATGATGGAAACAGACATTTGGTTCTTTCTTTCATCTTTAATTTTTTCTCAAAAAATTAATATGAATGCCTCACTTTCCACCCCATCAAAATTAGATAAATGAAAATTAAGATTATATCAAGCTTTAGGAAGTCACTCATTTATTCATGCTAAAAATACTTATTGTGCACCCTTGAAGGACTAAATTTATTTTGATGTTCTTCAATTTCTCCAAGTAGTTCTTGTTTTTTAAAAAATCTATCCAAGTTGCCTTTTTATTAATAATAAAATTTATTAACACATACTGCTTACAAATAGTATAGACTCAAAAATTATAAAAATAAATCAGTAGATATTTAAAGGCAAATGCAAAAATTTACACATTAGATCATTAAAGGTTTTACAAAGTTTTTATACTGTCAACAGTTGTCAAAACTAGATATATTAAGCAAAAAAAAAAAAAAAAAAAAAGCAAGGTACAAACTAGCAAGTATCATGTTACCATTATGTTTTTAAAAGGAAAGAAAGACAGTCTCCAACATGCACAGACTAGATCTGGAAGAATGCTTAGGAAACTACTGCCAGTGGATGCCTAAGGACTAGGGATCAGGAAACGGGAAGGAAATTCACATTCATTGAATATCCTTTGGTACTATGAAATTTTTTAAATTCATATTCAGGTACAAATTTGTTCACATATTTTTGGTTAGTAGTTACATTAAAGACTAAACCCTTAACAGGTGGATTCAACATGAAATTAATTATATACCACAAATAAATGAAAAAATTTGCAATTATTTCTGGAAATATTTTCATGAAAAGGGTTTACAGGGTAAGAAATGAGAAAAGCTTCTGCAGTACAGATGTTATTACAATGATATTTAAGTGAAGAATCTTATTTCCAAGTGTGAAATATTTCCAGGGGTATGTGAAGACTATAAGACAATGATGGTTAAGCTTAGCCTTTATTTCTTTCCTATGAAAAAAGGTTTATGCAAATGTATAGGAGGCTTGAAATTGTCACTTTAAGGGAAAAAATGGAAATGCCTTACAGTGAGTTTTATTTCTACTTGACAGAGAAACCAAGATTTTCACCAACCAATAATACATTACTCACCTGCATGTTATTCATGAAAATGTCTTTATTCAAAAAAAAAAATGTAGTGTTTTTATTTTGGGTTCTGAAAAAATTTAATAAACTACAAGTCAAGATTTAATTTCTCTAGCCTGGCTTCTCACTTACATCATGAAGGTCAAGGTCATGGCACAGATAATGACTATTCCAAATATGAGCTATAGTTGATGTGCTTTCTAGGTTGGGTATACACCCTATATACTTTTTACATTTATCCCCTTATCCCAATGGTATTACCCAGTCACCCCCTAAATATGTAGCCTAAATCCAAAAAGAGAAAGGCAGATCACCTACTTCTTCTCCATCAGACCTTTTCTTAAGTTAAACAGCAAGAAATGATCTGCTTTCTCTATTCACCTGTTCTGAAATACAGAGCACACTTACATGATACCCATCTTTGAACTTCTGTGTCCTTGAACAAGCACATTTGCAAACAATCAGCTGAATATTAAAAGACCCTCAAAATTAGGAATAATATCTCTAGTAGAAAAGAATTCAAAAGCATCAAGTTCCAAATAGTCCCTGAGCACACTGATCATTTCAGCAAAAGGTCTCCAGAGAGGTAATGAGTGAACAGCACATTCTCTCCAACTCAAGGACCACTGCATAGTACTAGAGATGATATAACAGCCTGACTAATCAAAAGGTGACATCCCCCCCTCCCAATGTTATATCTTATACGCTGGAAAAATAATCTAATGTTGTATGTAAACGCAACACTTTTGACTAGAAGAGTGGCGGCTAGGCACAACTGCCCTTGCAAGGAAGGATCAGAGCAAAGGACAGCTTCAAGCCTTGTCTTCATTTTCCAAGAAATCAGTCAATGTTCCACTGTCAACAGGAATTAATAAATATTCCACTCTGTCAGTTCTTTGTTTTTGTAAGTTTGTGGTCCCTGAATTCCATTAAGTGGGCCAGGAATGTCACACACTATTGACAAAGAATGCCTCTTGACAGTGCTGGTAAAAACCTGGAAAAGAAAGTCCAATGTATGAAGAGTAACCCTGGTTATCCAGCTGATACTTTATTAGTAGCCAAAAAGTAAATCTTGATTGGATTAGGGATATGGCTTTGTAAAACTTGAGTCAGGGAACCAAGTGGTAGAGATCCAGATTGTTTAACCAAAAGAAAATTCTTATAGGAGGTTTCTTTAGTATAAAAACTATATGTAAAAATCACAACTTCTGGGACAGGAGTCCTTGTGTTTCTCCTTTGCTAACAAAGCAATAAACCTTTTTGCTTTATCTCAAAATCATGTCCTTGTTATTGGACTGGCATTGGGAACAAGGACAGAGTTTTGGCAACAAATTGGCAACCCAGATGCGACTTGAGAACAGTCCCAGCTCCAGCTTTCTTGGGCAGGCCTGGCTCTCTAAGAAACCCTACTTCCATGCTGAGGATGCAAGGTGGCTGGTGAACTTGCTGAGAGCAAACTGCCGGAGAGTTAGGAGATGGGTGAGTTTGCCTGGGTCGAACTAAGGAGCTAATCCTGTGAGTAAAGGAAGTGACTGAGAGACTATCCTAGCAGCTGTCAAATCTCCCTTTGCTTCAGGGAACTCCTGCCTTCTCTTCCTGAATGGTACAGGTTGCTCCATCATGATCCATTTTGAGAAAAAGGAAACTGAACTCAGTAAAGTTGCAACACCCTTGGCCATCTGGTAAGTCCCCCAGTGTGCACACCAAGACCCTTGATTTTACACATCTGGTTCCTCTTTCTGGGGACATCCATGGCACCACTGGTGCAGGTGTCGGGATTAAGTGGGACTCTAGAACCTACATACGGAGAGCCAAGATGGTGGGCCAGGAGGAGGCAGCATTCTGTGTTGCTCTGTGACCCAGGTCTCAACTAGTGGGAATACTGCTTCTCTGAGAGTGATAGAGGACCCCTACACTGCTGCTCTCATGTAGAAATCACCAGCACTGTGCCTCCGCACAGGGCCCCGGGCTTCAGTGTTAGAGCAGGACTCCAAACTCCCGACTTCTAGCCCACTCAGGGTTCCCGAGGGCTTTAGCAGGATCACCGCGTCAGCACCAGAGCAGAATTCCCAGATACCACTCCGTTCCCATGCAGGACACTCAACTGCTACTCACCTACAGGAACTCCAGCCACCACTACCCTGTGGACTCCCATCTACCAACATGGGAATCCCTTGGTTGCCTCCATCTGGTGACTCAGCAGCTACTGCCATAGTCCCCTACACGTGGTAGTCTGCTTGCACCTGAGGACATCTCACAGGTTCTAAAAACCGCTGCAACACTGCACGCCACAGAGCTCATCTCTGAATACATCTTACAATGTCATTGCCTGGCTCACCCCACCCGACCTGACCCCCTGGCTCTGGAAGTGGCTCTCTTCCATCTTGGGTCACCTTCCTCTCTATCTTTGGTGGGGGCAGCTCCCAGATTGGAACTTCAGCTGGTCAAGCACAGGGTTTCCAACTCCCCCCTTTCCCCAGCAAGGCACAGTTACTGCCCAACACAAAATAGGTCTCAGTGGGACAGGTGCGCAGTGCGATCAGGGCACCACCCACAGGAAGCCTGTGAGAGAGGTCCCTTAAATGGGAACTAGTAAGGGAGAGGGGGAGGGTGCAACAGTTTGGAGACTAACAGAGAGACCAGGAACTGGGAAATTTTCAGGCAACATAGGAGATAGGACACAAAAAGAGACCCTTGAGGTGCAGTCTCCTTTTAGGGACTGGCAGATG